CCCCCCCCATATATATGAGATATAAACAGTGACCCCTCAATCATCATCTTTATTTAGGGAATCAGAATTGTATATTTACTATGCTGAGCTGTCACACTGTCAGAGCTCACAGAACACAGGCCAAGATTACTTATGTGTGTTCTGTCCATGAGCACATATGGCATTGTTCCCTTATACAGACTGCACATACTGAACCCCTTTATTATAACACACGCACTGAGCCCCTTCATTATAAAGCATGCACTGAACCCCTAAATTATAAAGCACATACTGAACCCCTTCATTATACAGCACATACTGAACCCCTTCATTATAAAGCACACACTGACCCCTACATTTTAAAGCGCATACTGAACCCCTTCATTATAAAAGCACATACTAAACCCCTTCATTATAAAGCACACACTGAACCCCTTCATTATAAAGCACACACTGAACCCCTTAATTATAAAGCACATACTGAACCCCTTCATTATAAAGCACATAATGAACCCCTTCATTATAAAGCACATAATGAACCCCTTCATTATAAAGCACATAATGAACCCCTTCATTGTAAAGAATGCACTGAACCCCTACATTATAAAGCGCATACTGAACCCCTTCATGATAAAGCAGGCACTGAACCCCTACATTATAAAGCACACACTGAACCCCTTCATGATAAAGCAGGCACTGAACCCCTTCATTATACAGCACACACTGAACCCCTTCATGATAAAGCACACACTGAACCCCTTCATGATAAAGCACACACTGAACCCCTACATTATAAAGTACATACTGCACCCCTTCATTATATAGCACATAATGAAGCCCTAAGTTATAAAGCACACACTGATCCCCCTTCATTATAAAACACACACTGAACCCCTTAATTATAAAGTACACACTGAACCCCTTCATTATAACACATGCACTGAACCCCTAAATTATAAAGTTCACACTGAAACCCTAAATTATAACGTTCACACTGAAACCCTAAATTATAACGTTCACACTGAACCCCTAAATTATAAAGTACATACTGGGCCCCTAAATTATAACGTTCACACTGAACCCCTTCATTATAAAGTACATACTGCGCCCCTAAATTATAAAGTTCCAGCTGAACCCCTAAATTATAAAGTTCATACTGAACCCCTACATTATACGGCACATACTGAACCCCTCCCTACATTATACGGCACATACTGAACCCCTACATTAGAAGCACATACGGAACCCCTTCATTATAAAGTACATGCTGAACCCCTTCATTATACAGCACATACTGCACCCCTTCATTATACAGCACATACTGCACCCCTACATTAGAGGCACATACTGAACCCCTACATTAGAGGCACATACTGAACCCCTTCATTATAAAGTACATACTACACCCCTTCATTATACAGCACATACTGCACCCCTACATTAGAGGCACATACTGAACCCCTACATTAGAGGCACATACTGAACCCCTTCATTATAAAGTACATACTACACCCCTTCATTATACAGCACATACTGAACCCCTTCATTATACAGCACATACTGAACCCCTACATTAGAGGCACATACTGAACCCCTACATTATATGTACATTGGCACCTAAACACACATATCTACATACAGCCTTAACTGTATATTATATACATGTTGTGCCACTCCTAAATATATAGCGCGTCCTGCTTCCATACATTATATACACAACCTGTATGACAGATAAGTATAGACACAGTGACTTCCTCTACTCATATACAGTTCCCATAACTTATACATACTGCCCCATACACTGAATATGTACTATGTGTCACCTATAAATAATACATGGCCCACACCTACTGCACCTATATACATACATATACACTGGTTATATGTATACTGACCATACCATACTATATATATTACCCATATACTGGAGACGGCAGATGCAGAGTGCACCCCATACACTTTCTCTATATTATTATAATACAGAATGTATATAGTGCCAACAGTTTACACAGCGCTTTACAAAATTATAGGGGATCAGTGTGGACTATATACAGTGTACAGACAATAGTCGTGTCACACACAAAGTTCCCCCTATGCACTACCCCTTTAGGGGATCAGTGTGGACAGTATACACACAGTACTGCCATACATTGCCTCTATAGGGATCAGTGTGGACAGTATACACAGAGATGATTCCCCCCAGTCACACACACAGTGCTCCCCATACATTGCATCTATAGGGATCAGTGTGGACAGTATACACAGAGATGATTCCCCCCAGTCACATACACAGTGCTCCCCATGTATTGCCTCTATAGGGGATCAGTGTGGACAGTATACACAGAGATGGTTCCCCCCAGTCACATACACAGTGCTCCCCATGCATTGCCTCTATAGGGGATCAGTGTGGACAGTATACACAGAGATGACTCCCCCCAATCACACACACAGTGCTCCCATACATTGCCCCTATAGGGGATCAGTGTGGACAGTATACACAGAGATGACTCTCCCCAGCCACACACACAGTGCTCCCCATGCATTGCCTTTATAGGGAACATTGTGGACAGTATACACAGGGATGATTCCCCCCAATCACACACACAGTGCTCCCATACATTGCATCTATAGGGATCAGTGTGGACAGTATACACAGGGATGACTCTCCCCAGCCACACACACAGTGCTCCGCATACATTGCCCCTATAGGGGATCAGTGTGGACAGTATACAGGGGATCGGTACATACACAGGACACAAACACGATAATCTAGAACGGATCCCCGCACCCCTCCCGGTGCCGATACCTGTGTCCAGTCTCCGGCCACTCCACTGTCTGTCTCTGCTGCGCGTCCCCGACACTGTCAGACGGCGCTGGGGGCGGTGACAAGGCGCAGCACAGCCAGCCGGGGGCGTGGCGTCTCTAGCCTCAGACAGTACAAGAGGCCACGCCCCATGGAGCTGGCTATTAGCAGAGAGGAGAGCTGCAACCCTTCTCCCCTCCCATTTCAGGCGGGGCGAGGAGTAGGAGGACGGGCAAGAGACACGGAGGAGGGAAGTTTCCAGTGACACGCCTACGCTCCCGGGAGTCATTCGTTCGGAGAGCAGGATAGCTCCGCCCTTTGTTCGATGTCACGCCCCTATGTCAGCCAAGGAAAGGACGGAGCTGTCTGCGAGGGGAGGGATTTGAGAGTAAGAACCACGTGGGAGACTCAAGAGACACGTGACTAAGGGAAATGCCATTCAGGGTCAGGGCTGGTTACCCCAGTTGGTCACTGTGTGTCTGTTCTTCCTGTCAGGGACGTGCCACACCCACCCCGTGTCATCGTACTACCCCCCCCCCCCCAATGCCATGTTCCCCCTCCCCCATTCT